ATAGGGTGACACACTTCATGAATTTTCTCCTTGAGATGGTAGTGATATCCTACCAAGTAATGTTACCACTAGGTCCCCCTTCTAATAGGGTGACACACTCCATGAATTTTCCCCTTGAGATGGTAGTGATATCCTACCAAGTAATGCTACCACTAGGTCCCCCTTCTAATAGGGTGACACACTCCATGAATTTTTCCCATTCTGTTGGTTTGTTTTCAGAAAGAAGCTCATCATTTAAATTTCTTTATCAACACCAGTATCTCCATCATTCTCTCAATGTAGGATTCTGTCTATCTGGTCTGTGGACAATTGAGTAGCATTTTTGAAATGAGTATTAGATACCTCCCAACAGAACCACTCCCCCTTCCTTTCTACTTCCAATGTCTCTTTTGCTTTGCCAAGAATGAGCTTTCAACAAACACAAAAGTGCTTGAGGGTGGGTTCTATACATTGTGGACGTGTCACCAACTTACTGGTTATAGTCTAATGCTGATTACATCATAGATCAGAAAAGTACACATTATTATTTGCAGGGGTAGGATTTTCATTCAAAGGCTTGACACAGGCTTAAAATTGTTTTGGCAGTGGTGCAAATTAATAGCTATCTGATCTGTGAAGAGGTAAGTATCTGAAATAGACTTTCACGTAAGGAAAGTGTTAATGTTTAGCCTCTGTTACCTTGATTTTTTATGCCACCATAGTTGACAAATATTTATAATTTAGTGTATGAGTTTACTTATTTTAGCTTCAGTTGCAACTAATGAATATTATTTAGTCTTATTTTAAATAAAACTGCTTGTCTACATTTGAAAAAATGAACTTGAATCGACTGAGAATTCTTGGCAACAAATGTGTAGCATTGTGTTAAATGTATTTTATTCATGTTTAGGCTAAGCAACATACTAAAAACAACAGTAACAACATAATTCTGAAGTTTTATGTTTAAGTTAAAGGTGAATAAAATATAAGTTTTATTCAGTTCTCTGAAAGTACTTTCAGGTTTTTCCCAAATATTTTAGAAGTTTAAGATACAGACTTTTGATTAAAACAAATGTAACTTCCATTAAACATATTATTACAACTAAATTGACTAAATTTGTATAAATATTTTAGAAAATTGTGTAATGTTACAAAATGTCACATGTATTTTGAAACATCTCATTTTTTATCAAAATTGAAATGTAACTATGTCTATTGATGTATTTTCTGTAGTGGGAGAAGATTCTCTTATGAAAGCCCAGTCAAGTGGTAATAAGATAACTAGCGCCATCTGGGGACCATTAGATGAATACATTATTACAGGTCATGAAAATGGAGATTTAGTGAAATGGGATGTACTGGTACAAGTTTTTCTTATTTCTCTCTACAAACAAGTAATATTAATACTTATTAACCCAATATAAGGTTGGTAAAAACTAAGTTTTATTGAATCAGAAAAGTTAAATACCTCACGTTTTTCATTATTTCTAATATTTAAATAAATGTTAAATATTTCTAAAGACAAAAGTGTTTGATACAAAATCATTTTTTTCAGACAAGGGGGTCAGTATAAACCTTCTTTTAAAACTCAGTTTTCTTTGCAGAGTCATGTAATGTTATAGAGCATTGGCCACAGACGACCAACATGCTTTCAATTCTATTACATTGTCAGCCATCAGTGGCTGATGTGGCTGAGTATTGTTAAAACTGCATCAACCACGTGTGGATGACATGGCAGTGAAAGAGTTGAACATTTTTGTTACTGTACACTAACAGTACGATTGGACCATGTAGTGTTGTTTAGAATATTAAACATATTTGTTACTGTACACTAACAGTACGATTGGACCATGTAGTGTTGTTTAGAATATTAAACATTTTTGTTACT